ACTTCACTTCACTTTCTCAACTTATTTCCACTTAGTTTTTCCACTTCAAACCCATTGAAAGCCTTAGAATCATCAAAAACACATCCTAAGGGGAAGATTCAGACTTGGCTAAACTGATCCTCAAACATTCATATCATATAATCTTTCAAATATCGACATAAAACTACTCAAAACACCTTAACTTAAATCAATGTGTTTTAACTAGTAGTATAACATCAAAGTCATCCTCCCCTACTCTTATATTTTGGCCAGTACCTCCCCTTAGGGGAATCTATATTTTTCAACTACCAAACCAAGAATACAAAACAAAATATAAGCTAGAACATAAAACTAACATTGTATCCAAGCTTATGTGATCAAGTAGATGGTTTCCTCTTGATTAAGCTTCAAAAGATAAAATGGCAAGAGTTTCCCCTCTTGTTCTCATCTTAGCCAAAAAAAGTGAGGGGAGGGAGGGCTATTTATAACCAAAAATTTGGTCTTGAATAGACCAAAATGCCCTGAAAAACTAAGAAAATTGTAAGTGCAAATTTGAAACTTCAAGTGCACTTTTGCATATTATTACATCATCTCATCTTCCCTCATATACACATCCTTCTAGAAGTGCTAGGTGTCAAAATCTAATAGGAAGGAAGGGAGAATGAATCTTAGTCATTGGATTAACTTATCTCTAAGTTCTCCTACCAATTTACTTGGCTCACATTTATTTGGCTTTCTTAGATGGCCTTTTCGAGCTCAGAAAATTCTTTTGTCTGTCCTATAAATTTACTTTAATTCTAGAGAATATTTATAATTTTCTCAAGACATAACACTTCATTTAAGCCTTGCATAAAAATTATTTCCTAAAATACCCTCTTATTGGCATAATTGGCTTTATATTTTATTAAAGCTATTACACTGGCCTTCTAGATGGGACTAATTTTATAATTAGTACAAATTTTTAATTATTTACCTCATTTTTGTATGCATTTTTGAGGTCTTCTTGCTATCTCAAATAATTATTTCAAACATATATACTTTTTACCGTCCATAATTTTATAAATTCCATTTAAGTTGCCTCAGGGGTTTTCATTATTTCTCTTCATAAAAGAGTAAAAGAGTTATAGAATATTATTTCCCCATTTTTTAGACTTTTTTTAGAATTTTTTGTATACTTTTCATTTTACTCCTCTTAGCCGTAACTTTCTGAATTTATGATTAGTCTCTATTGGGCTTATCCTCATAAAACCATCTTTAAGACTTCTAACTTAACCTTTGACCTTTAATGAACATCTTTTCTCTTTCTAGGCCTCCGAGACTTTACTAGAGCCTCTAATTTTGATTACACTTTAGCTCCTGAAAACTTTCACTTTGCAGTTTTAGTCCCTATTCTTGTTTTTGGCTTTCTTTCACATCTTGGGACTTCTGCTCAAAGGGACTTAGTAGACTACCTTCTTTAAGCTATTTTATGGGCTTTTAGGTCTAAAAATTTGAGATGTGAAAGATTATAAGCCAACTAATGTAGTAGAAGAAGAATTATATGAAAGTTACAGGCAGAATATGATAATAATGATATAAGACTAGTATAGCTAAACAAAAAAAACCATGTCAGTTCTCACTAGTGCTTTAAGCCATAAAGAATATTATGGACTTATAAATTTTTCTATAGCAAAGAAATGTGAAAAGCATTGGAGACTACTCATTAGTGGATCATTAGAGTTAAATAGAGTAGAATTAATACTCTAAAATTGAATATGAGTTATTCAAAATAAACAAGGGAAAAACAACCAAAGACTTTGAACACAAGATCCCCCCTGCCATGAGCCGCTTGGTAGGAAAATAGATAATCAACGTGATCAAGTGAGAAAAAAATCCAAGTGTCTTCACTTATGAGTGGCCAATTAAGTTCATAGCTAAAGAAGAAAGCAAAAGAGAACTGATGAGATTAGGTGGCTGATGAGATTAGTGGCTACTCTTTTTGCAAGTCTAGTAAAATTTTAGAAAAGAGCCAACATATAAGGAAAGAAAGAATTAGCTCTCCGAGTTAATGATGAGAACATTGGTGAAGCAAAAGATGAAGAAAGGAGTCTTCTAATAAGGAGATTTAACAAGTTATACAATAATAATAGTAATGGAAGAAAATTCTAGAAAGGTAACTACTCAAACAAGAAGAGACGAGCAAGATAAGTTACTTGCTAGGAATGCAAGAAGTTAGGCTATTTCCCTCAATTCTAAAAGAAGTCTAGTAGAGAGCAAAAAGTGAAATGTACAAGAAATAAGGCATATGTGACATTAATATGGAGAGATAGGTCTGACAGTGAGAATGAACTTATGGCAAATATTTCTCTAGTCGAAAAGGAGGAATACAACTCAGGCAGAGATGAGGTAATGTATACTTAACCTTCTTTTGATGATTTTCAATAAGAGGTTAATGACTTGCATGTAGAATTTGTCAAGGCATTCAAGTAATTGATTAATTAAGGCTTCGTTGGTGTTCAATTTGTACAAGTGGGATTGAAATGGGTCTCAAATACTCATTACAAACTTGAGGAATATAATGGATTTGTAAATCTGGATGTAGGCTAGTGGATTAAGTTGAACTAAGATAAGCTTTAGTATAGTTGTATAGTTTTTTTATCTTTACCTTATCTCGACTTGACTACGATGACATCCATGTAACTCCATTCGTTATTTATTGAAATTGTCTTTCATTATTTACATTGAATTTTTATTTACCCAATTTACCCCCTATTGTTTACATCTTGCACTAACAATGTTATTGCAAAAGTAGACTCAACCCTCAAGAATTTGGAGGTGCAAATAAGATAGTTCACAATGTTATTATAAGAGTAAACTCAACCCTCAAGAATTTGGTGGTGTAAATGAGATAGCTCACTACTTCAGTGAATGCACTACACCTAAAGATAATTACCAAGTAATATAGTGCCTAAGCCTTATAAAGATGGCAAAGAGGAGTCCAAGGCGATTACATTAAGGAGTATAATGCGATTGCCAAATAGATCTCCTTCTACATCAAAGTCTCGATCTAAACAAGAGGTTGGTTAGACAAAAATTCAGGCACCTTTTAAACCTAGTAATGTCAAACTAATAGTTGCTAATTGTAAGGTTGATGGTAAAAGTAGCAAAGGAAACGGTAATACAATTAAGAATCCTAAAGTGGTGCCATCCCTTCCTTTCCCTCAACTATCTCAAGATCTAAAAGCATTTTTATATCAATATCAATTTTCTAAGGTATTGGAGCGAATGGCCAAGTATGCCAAGTTCCTTAGATATATGTTGAGTAAGAAGTGTTTTACTGAGTTTGTAACTATGGCTCTAACTAAGGCGCCCCTAGTATCATCAAGCCTCATATCCTTTTCAAGTGTAAAGATCTTGGTTCTTTCTCCATTTCATGTCTAATTGGTGAAAGATTTGAAGGCTGTGCATTGTGTCATTTAAGTTTTGCTATTGACCTTATGTATTTGTGAAGGATTTGAAGGTTGTGCATTGTGTGATTTGACTGTATGTCCTTAACTATTTTTAAAAACCATCATCCAAGGGAGGTCACTCCTGTGATTGTTACACTTCAATTAGTTGATAGAAATTTTCGTATCCATATGGTATTATTGAGGATCCAGTGGTGAAAGTGAATTGTTTTCCTTATCCTACTGCTTTTATGGTTCTTGATATAAAAAAGAATAAAGAGATTTCATTAATTGTTGAAAGACCATTTTGTTGTTACAGCATGAGCAATGACAAATGTTAGAAAGGGGCAATTGCTTTGGAGGTACAAATCATGTTTAACATGGATAAGACAATGAAGTATCTAAATGAAATGGAACAATGTGCAAGGGGTTTTGTGATAGATGAATTCATTCGAGAAAAATTGGACTTTTCCCCATTTTCTTATTCTTATTTTACATCTTTCTCATTTTTCACTATGTCCTTTTCAAGATTTGTTGTAAGAAGGTTACACATCACCAAGGGGATTCAATTAAAAACTCCAAAGCATAATCAAAAATTTAAATTAAGGGAATACGAGTTACTCGTTTTTTTTTTTTTGGGTTAAGGTTTAAGTTTACATTTTTTTAATTTCTTTATTAATTTAATTTAATTAAAATTATTATTTTTTTTAGGCAAGAGGCATTGTGCCTTGATTTTTAAATTTCATCAAAATTTTAGTTAGTGGAAGCTAACGAATAATTAACCATTTAGTCAATGAGTCATCAACGACCTGCTTTCACATATAAATTCCTCTTTAAGCTGTTTTTTTCCCCCCCTTTTTTTGTTAGCTGACTCTTTAAGCTTTGTTAATAACTAGTATTTAAACTAAATTCAGCATGGCAACAACTTAAAAAATAAATGTTTTCTAGGCCTTTTTGCCCCATTTTCATACTAAGTAACAACGCACTAAACAGTCAGTCAAACGCATCGCCTATTTTCAAACATATCCCTCTTTAAAAATCCTGACATATTTACTCTTACATGTTTACTACTCTGCCTAAACAAAATTAGACAGCATATCGGCATCATAGAATATAAACCTGAACCCTACACATTCTCATCTAGCTTAATTCAAACCTAATCAAATATAGCCACAAAATTCGACTACAGGAGGAGTAGAAACAAAACCCCCTGGACTTCGGCTCAATTTCACCGACTTACATTAGTCACTACAAAATTCACCATAATTACAATCACCACAAATCATTTACCAGTAATTTCAATTTCCACAAGACAAAGGGAAAAGCAGCAAGCACAAGGAAATTTGCAAGAACTTTGGTTTCATAAAATTAAGAAATAAATACCAAGAATTTTTTTATAGCTTTCATAAAATTACTCTAATGATTGTGGAAATGCCAAACAAATATAACAATATCAATCTCTCATGAACATGGAGTAATGTTGTGGTGACCATATATTTGAATAACCACACATCTAATGTTTGACCATTTGCTTCATTAAGGTTACCCAGAGAATGGTAATACGAGTGGAAATGGGAAGCTATTGCTGGACCAGCATCATCAGGATAAAGTTCGACCATTTGATTCATTAAGAGTACCCAGAAGTGTAACGATTCTTGGAAAACAGTGGTAAGAACTGAAGAATTAAAAAAAAAAAAAACTTCACTTTTTCAACAGCAGTGAAGTAGGTCCTATTTAATCATCATAATAGCACACTACTCTCGAGCCGCATATCCAACCTCTTCAACTCATCCTATCAAAACAGCAAGGTTACAAACAATTTGTTGTTGACACAAATTTACACACCAGCTGTAATAGTATAATCGACCCAAGAGCTTGAATCATCGAGGGGGGAAAAACTTTCAGGACAACGTTTTCTCAGCAATCAATCAGAAATGTTTAATCAAAACTGATATATTGCCTCTCCAAGTTTCTCCAGCATACACTTACAGCAATGACAATGTACTGAAAGCTTCTGATCCTTTGACCTAAAGGATGAACAGGACTGACATGAGAGTCAAACTAGAACTTTGCTCTCGTTTTGAATAATGCCATCAAGAATATATAAATTGAAAGAATTGAACCCATGTCATGAAACTCTGTATTTAGTCTGAGAATGGCTGCGAATCCATGCATAGGTGCACTAATTTTCGTTGATACTGCCCATAGTATTCACCAACAGCAATGACATCGTCATTCTGAGGATCTAACCCTGGCAAGTGTGGTACCTTACCATGGATGGAAGAATTTGATTCATCGTCAGGATTACCTAACTTCGAAACTAACTCTGCATGGATTTCACGGCAAGCGAGAATGAACATTGCAGCTGTGTCAGGTAGTTGTGCATCACGAAGTACTGCCAATGCCTCTTGCAGTGCACCGCCAGCAACATACAAAATCAGAGCCCTGCAATGAGCCATCACAAGCTCGAACTAAGTGATTGTAGCGAGGGAGAAGATGAAAAGAGAACAGAAAAGTGATCATACCTCCATATATTATGTTCATTGCGATGAACTTGTCCAGCCCACCTTTGCAACACCCTGCATGAACCCGACATTAAAGATAAGGCTCTAAGTCAATTATGACACAATTTGGTCAACATATTTCTCCACAAGAACGAGGAAAAAAAATAATAATAATGGAGCAACCTCCAAGACTGATTTATGGGTAGAAACAATCATCTCAAGATTGGTTAGCACATTATCATCGTTTTGCAGTAACTTGGTATGAAGCGATTGAAGCTGATCATTCAGCACACTATTGTCACAACCCCACATCTAGGCATTTATTTTGCAGTAAATGTGAACAGCAATGCATTTTTCACCTAAAACAACACCTTCTCAAACAAAGATTTGAGCTACATTTGGTCTGAAACAAATGAAATCCCATTAGCTTTAAGCTGTTTACTTTGTTTGCCTTCACAATATTTATTTAAAAAAATCCTACTTAACTTATTTGAACTGTGTGCAGCCAAATCAAACAAAGATCACGTTGTTGAAGCCACATCAATGCCATTTGACACATGAGCAGATGTTTAAAAAATGAGGATGAACTCTTCAACAGGATAAAACTTTAGGTATTGATCCCTAAGAAAACAAACTATAGGGACTGCTAACAAAATTGATGGAAACTGAGGACCAAAAATTCAATTTTCTTATATATTAGAAAAGGTTTTAAAATAGAGAATGAACACTTTAACAGGATAAAACCATCTGCACCAATCCATATAGAAACAAACTACAGGTATCAACAAAATTCATGGAAACTTTAGGAGACTAAACTCATTTTGCCCTTATATATGCAAAATAAGTTGGTTGGTATTTCTGCTAATAGACAACTACTAGGAGAATTGAGTTTTCAAAAATAAGCAGGATGGAACAAATTTGAGGACAGTAAGGCAACTCCAAATATTGCCTCAAACTGATACCTTTTAAGAGACGTCCAAACACATTGAAAATGACTGGCATTATAAAGAGGTAATTTTTGAATGCATTAAAAAAAGGGATTTGTCAATTACAAAAGATCAGCAAGCAAATAATCACACCATGTCATTAAGGTTCCTTAGATCGCCTATTTTTGTAATAAGCCTGGTGCAGCATGCCTCAGGAGAGTTAGAATTGATGCACAGAATGAATACCAGTCTACATGTACGATATGGATGTATTGCTAGCTGTATAGAGGTTGTATGATTAACTGCAAATTAGGGGCTCTAATGGGTAGAGTTTCACGTCTTGTCCTGAAAAATAAAAAATAAATAATAGGTTTGTGTAGGTCAAAATATGAAGATGACATTTCCCATAAATGGTTATCCTTTGATCTCTCATTTCACAGAATCTCCGACCTCACAAGTCAGGCACAAAAATGATTATTAGGCAAAAAGTGCGAAACAAAAGTGTAGCACACAAATTCTTCGAGAAATTAGACAGTGTGTATTATATTATATGCGTGATTCACTGATTTGATATCAAGTGGTGTGAGATTTATTTAATTATTTTTTATTCAGAAAGAGAATAAGAAGTTATGCAACAAATATAGTGTTGACAGTGAAACAAAAAATTAATTATGTTGATGAAAAAATCTCCTTTCTACAGTTCAAGAAAGAGCATGAACCTTGCATAATCAGATCCATTTAAGTGACTTGAAGCTAAGGTTGCAGCATCTGTCCAGCATCCAGCATCTTGTAACTACATTGAAATAAGGCATGGGATTATCAAGACAAATCAAGTATAATAAAATGATAATTTATTATTTTATCATTTGTAGTTTTGGAAAAAGCATAAGCGATACAACATCCTGGCACATTATATATACGGGCCATCCATATTAATAATAAAAAAGCTATGGAAAATGGTTATGCGTCTTAAGAATTATGGGCAAGGTTTATGGTGGGGGTGGGTAACCTGAGGTGTTGAGCCTAAATTACCATGAGCCTAATAAAGTTATTTCCTATGTGTTGGCAACTCAGTCTAATGGGCCATGGGCCTAAAAAACCCTAATCCCATGACAGATTTTATTCTGTAAACTTATTTCTATTTATGAGCTAGATTATGATTCTAATTTAATTGTATTTTGAATTATATTCTGGATCCCTAATACCTTGGCCAGATCCCTAGATCAGTGGCCTAATAACCTCTCTGGCTGAGGAGATTTGTATTTATTTAATCCTGTTAGCTCATTCGAATAATACAATTCAGAATCAAAGAGATTCTTTATGGTATTAGAGCAAAGATGATTAGGTTTGGCATAGGGTTCAACGATGAGGTGCAGAACAACCCTAGAGTTCCGATAGGGCACCTATTGGTACTGGTAGCAGAGGCGTCTAGTTCCACTAGTCACCAGAGCCAAACTGACTCCAACCCCACATCAATTACCATCCACCAGTTAAATGGTGAAAACTACATGCAATGATCCTCTAGTGTGCGACTATATATCATGGGAAAAAGGCAAGTATGGCTACCTGATTGGATTAATCCAGAAACCTACTAGGACCAATGAAAAATATGCTGCATGGGAAGCTGAAAACTCCATGGTGCAAGCTTGGCTAATCAATTCTATGACAACTGAAATTAGTGCTTACTTTACATTCTTCTAAACTGCTAAGGAAGTATGGGACACAGCAAGAGACATGTTCATTGGACTTAAAAACAAAGCTGCCATTTTGGAAATTGAGAGATTTTTCTATGATTTCAAGAAAGGTAATCTCTCTGTAACTTAGTACTACACTGACTTGGTTGTTCAATGGCAACAACTTAATATGTATGAGATGCTGCCCTATATGCAAAAATAAAAGAAGAAAAAAGGGGAAGAATTATGAGACTTGACTCCCTGCCACCTCTAAGGGAAGTATTCTTTACTGTGAGGAATGAAGAAAGCAGAAAGAAGCTCACTTCCACTGACTTAACAACAGAATCCAACCAGCCAAATGCTCTTGCATCAAAAGGAGCCTATCAAGATGACTCAAGACAAAACAAATGGTGTGATCACTGCAGAAAAAAAGAGCACATGAGGGAGACATGCTGGAAATTGCATGGCAAGCCCTTGAAAAAGGAAAGACAAGATGGTCGAGGCTATTCTGGAATTGTTGACAGCAAGAATGAACCAGAATTTAGTAGAGAAGAATTAGACTTACTCAGGAAGTTTCTAGAAAAACATGACTCAAGAGAGACCACCCTTGCAGCTGGGTATATTGCCCATATAGTTATTACTATTATGGCACTAAAACCTAACATACATCATTCAAGATTATGGATTGTGGATTTAGGGGCAACCGATCATATGACCGACAACCAACAGCTTTTGACTGACATTAGACCATGTCCTGTGAACATCTCTGTTAAAGTAGCAGATGGTAAAGCCTTCAAGTTGAAGGGCTTGGAACGGCATATATAACTCCTGAAATAATTCTATACAATGTGTTTTATACTCCTGGACTAAAATGCATGATAACTATGACTCAGAATCAAAACTGTGATGTTCACTTTTCTACAACTAAATGTGTTTTTCAGGATCTGAAGCAAGGGAAGACGATTGGCACAGCTAAGATACTTGAAGACCTCTACTGTTTAGAAGGATGCTGTCTCAAATAATGTGAAGTTGTCTTTAGTTTTTTCTGCTACTCTAGAAAATAAAGATGCATTGTTATGGCATTATAGACTAGAACATCCTAATTTCCGTTATATGTCAAAAATGTTTCCTCATCTTTTGAATAAGAATGATTTTTCTGTTACCTGTGAAGTTTGTCAATTTTCGAAACAAACCAAAGCCACCTACAAACCACACTCTCATCAATATTCAAAACCCTTTCAACTTATTCATAGTGATATTTGGGGACCTTCTCAAACACTCTCACTCACCCATGCAAAATGGTTTGTCACTTTTATCGATGACCACACACGCCTAACCTGGGTATTCCTAATGAAAGAAAAATCTGATCTACCTGCTATTTTCACCAAGTTTCACAAAATGATCCTAACACAATTTCAAACACCAATCCTCACCCTCCACCCTCCATAGTGACAATGGACATGAGTGCATGAGCTATACAACTCAAAACTACCTAAGAGACCAAGAAATCATCCATCAATCTTGTTGTGTTGATAATCCCCAACAAAATGGGACAGCCGAGCCCAAAAATAGGCACATCCTGGAAGTTACCCAATCACTCATGTTCACTCACAATGTTCCTAAACATTATTGGGGGGAAGCAATTCTTACTGCAATAGACTTGATAAACAGACTTCCTTCTAAGACCCTTAATTACCAAACCCCAATAAGCCTCCTCAATAAATCCTACCCTGCCAATTCCTTAACTCATGACCTTCCTTTTATTGTTTATATTCACCACAGACATGGGGGAAACTTGATCCTAGAGCTCTTAAATGTATCTTTTTAAGGCTCTCATCTACTCAAAAGGGTTACAAATGCTACTCCCCATCCTTGCAAAAATTCTTTGTTACAATGGATACTATGTTTATGGAAACCCAAGCCTTTCATCCCAGATCTCCCATTCAAGGGAGAAACTCAGTGAATGGGAGTTCCTAAACTTAGATAAACCTGACATAAACCACTTCATTACCCCAACACCTGAAACAAACATTTCAGCACCTGATAAAATTATTCCTGAACCTGCAACAGCCATCTCTAACCTCGAAACACATTCTGAACATACCTCCGGTCAACATGAAACCTCAAGGACCAAAACTGACACAGATTCCTCTCAACCTGAGACAAACTCATATGCTCCTACTCGTAGTATGGTGCCTAATGATGCAATACAGGCCGTGGCTGAAGAAGAATCTAATGCAGAAATTGATCAACCTGAGGAACAACATATACCAAACAATGGGGATCCTTCTAGTTCTGAGCAATGTCAAGAGTCAACTCAAAACTCCATATCCTGAAGACCTTAGGTGGCCAATTGCTCTAAAAAAAAGGATAAGACAGTGCACTCTACATCCTATCAGTCATTTTGTTTCTTACAATAGACTATCTCCATGTATGAAAGGTTTCGTCACCAGGATTGACAAAGAACAAATTCCATCCACTTTTAATGAAGCGGTTAAGGACCCTAGATGGAAGGCAGCTATCAATGAGGAACTAAAAGCTCTTGATAAAAATCAAACATGGAGAGTATTGAGCCTCCCCCTTGAGAAGAAAGCTGTGGGATGTAAGTGGGTCTTCATAATTAAATACAATCTCGATGGATCAATAAGCAAATTCAAGACAAGATTGGTGGCAAAAGGTTTTTCTCAGACAGAGGGGATTAACTATCAAGAACCATTTGCACTAGTGGCAAAATTGAATACTATAAGGATATTGTTGTCCTTTGCTACCAACCTTGATTGGCCAATCCATCAATTAGATGTAAAAAAACGCTTTTTTGAGTGGAGACCTTGAAGAAGAAGTGTACATGAAAGTACCCGAAGGACTTATAGAACATGGAGACTTAAAAAGGGCATGTCAATTGTATAAATCCCTCTATGGTCTCGATTAATCTCCAAGAGCCTGATTTGGAAGGTTCACCAAAGTTGTGAAGGAATCCAATTACATACAGTGTCAATCTGACCACACACTGTTTGTTAAACACTCAAGAGGAAAGGTATATGCTCTAATTGTATGTGTTGATAATATTGTTATAACAGGGGATGATACTGAGGAGATAACAAGGTTTAAAAGGAACCTTAGCAACTGCATTTGAAGTTAAAGACCTAGGAAGTATGAGGTACTTCCTTGGGATGGAAATCTCCAGTTCAAAAGAAGGCATTTTAGTCTCACAGAGAAAATACACACTATATTTACTCAAGGAAACTGGAATGATGGGAGCCAAGCCGTCACCAGTCCCTATGGATCCCTTTACAAACTTGGAATATAAAAAGGATGGTGTACTAGTTGATGGAGAAAGGTATTAGTGATTGGTCGGGAAGCTAATTTACCTATCACACACAAGCTAGACATAAGCTATACTGTGGGAGTATTCAATCAATTTTCATCGCAACCACAAGAACATCATATGGAGGCCACATATAGCATCTTGAAATACTTTAAAATGATACCTGGAAGAGAGGTCTTCTTCAAGAATGGAGAGTCAAGAAATATAATAGGGTATACAGATGTCGATCATGGAAGAACTTGAGTTGGTAGAAGATCAACACGAGGGTATTTTACCTTTGTATGGGATAATCTTGTAACATGGGGGAGTAAAAAACAAACTGTGGTTTCTAGAAGTAATGCTCAAGCAGAGCTAAGAACCTTAGCAAATGGAGTGTGCGAAGGAATGTGGATAGTACGAGCCTTGAAGGAATTAAAGATTGAAGTGGACACACCAATTAAGATATGGTGTGATAGCATGTCAGCAATTCAGATGGTACAAAACCCAGTTCACCGTGACAGAACAAAACATATTGACATTGATCGGCACTTTATAAAAGAGAAGATTGAGTCAAGAACCATTGACTTGTCTCATATAAATTATGGGTCCCAAGTTGTTGATGTCCTTACAAAACCATTAGACTGAGTCAAGTTCGAAAATTTTAAAGACAAGCTAGACATGCAAGATATCTACTTGCCAGCTTGAGGAGGAGTGTTGGCGACTCAATTTAATAGGCCATTGGCCTAAAAAACCCTAATCCCATGACAGATTTTATTCTGTAGATTTATATCTATTTATGAGCTAGATTATGATTCTAATTTGATTGTATTTTAAATTCTATTGTGGATCCCTAATATCTCTGCCAGATCCCCTAGATTAGTGGCCTAATAACCTCTCTGGCTGAGGAGATTTGTATCTATTTAATCATGTTAACTTATTCGAATAAACATACAATTCAAAATAAAAGAGATTCTTCACTATGACTTTATATGATGCATTTATTGCACGGCCAAGTAAGTCTTTTAATTATTAATTTGAGCAACTGTTATAGGCAGCTTAGATAACATCAAGGTTCCCTTTTGCTAATTTGTCATCCAGGGGATTTACATCACTAACTTGTAATTCATATCCGATATTTAAAAAATTTTACTCAGTACAATAATCAACTAGCTACTACTCCTCCAGTCCTTAATATAGGACCTGATTGTTAAGTTAATGTTAGTCCTAAGTATAAGACTTATTTCTCATATTTATCAATTTTCTTAAATTACCTCTATGAATATTCTCTCAACCATAATCAAGTAAGTGAGGGAGTAAGGACATTAAGAAAGATGATTATGGTGTTATAAAAACACGTCACATTTCTTTTAATATACTAACTTACCTAACTTCTTTAATCTAATCAAATTAGTTAAATAGGTTTTATATTAAGAACTGGAAGAGTACGATATCAAAACTATGGCAAATAATGATATCAAGAGATTGTGTATTAAAAAATAGAGAATTGGAGCAAGGAAGTTTCCCAAGGTCAAAATATAAAACAATTAACAGAAGTGTATTCTTCTTTTCCAAATTCTGGGTTATATAGTGACATCTCACAGGACATATTCAGAGAATTGCAATATACTGATTTAAGCGATCAAGCATCATAACTTGGATAAACTTAGTAATTTAAAATATCACTTCGCTATATAAATGCTTGTGCGCGTGTGCACGTATTCATATTTTTCGGGAAAAATTTATAAGAACTTCTCCACAATTATTAACATAGAGAAAAAGACAAGCAACAACAACAAGCCTTAACTCACTAAGTGGGGTCAGCTAAAGAGATTGCAGATTGCATGACGTCATTATACTCTATCAACAACCAAATCTATCAAAAAATTGTTGACACTCAATAACTTCATAAAGTATTCTCTTCAGTCTTCCATTAGCCCTTTTCATAGAACTTCATACTACTTGATCTACCCTCTTCACTAGCGCATCGAATAACCTTCTTTGTAAGTGTCCAAACCACCCCAGACATTTTTCTATCATTTTCTTTTCAATAGATGCTACTCCAATTCTTCCCCATTTATGTCTATTACGAATCTTATGTTTTCTTGTATGACCACACATCCATCTTAATATTCTCATCTATACTACTCCTACTTTATGCTCGTGCTGTCTCTTTAAAGCTTACCACTCACCACCGTATAGCATTGTTGGTCTGATAGCAGTATGATAAAACTTCCCTTTTACCTTGTATATTTGACATATTTGAATAGCAAATATCAAGCATACGGCTAAAGTTATGTAACTGCCAAGGTTGAGGTTCACAATACATATGTCCGCCTTGTAAATTACATCAAGCAACCAATTTCTATTTTACAGCTTTACATGATTAACACATTATATTGAGGTGAGAATCACAAAGTTATTAGTAGAGAACCAAGTCCGAGAAAACAATGGAAGTACACTGAAAATGGTCTGGAAAGAGCATCCAAACCTGAGAACATGCTTCTTGATATCTTCCAACAGCACAGAGAAGATGAGTGCCAGATAGTGACCTGTCTGCCCTCACCATGTTGGCTGCAACAACCTAAACAATAGATAATATGCCATTAGAAGTATAGCTTCGTAATATATGAGGAATACTATTGTATACCAAGTAGTACTTGCAGCTTCATGCTAAAACACAAGTATTTAACTGTCAAACTCACCTTAACCGCAAGTTCATGAAGAGACCTTGAAATGGCAGAAGAGAGAGCAACTGCACGGAGAGCATTAACATAGAAGTAGGAACTCTCAGGAGGAGTTGAAAGCAATAAACTAACTGCAGCTTCAAGGTTTCCAACAGACACAAGCCTGGCAGCAGATAAGGAAGAGCATAATGAATTCAACAAAGACCATAACTGAAAATGTTAGGATGAAATAACATTCCCACTCAAACTAGGGGGGGTGGGGGAGGAAATTATACTCTGTTCTCAGTCACGTTAGCACTTACAACAGGATTAACAAATTTGAAATCACAAAAAACTATATGGATCGAGTACTAAACTAATACTTCTCCGGTCCTAAATATAAGACCCATTTTATAGTGTAATTTGCACTACAAAATGAGTCTTATATTTAGAACCAAAGGAATACTAAACTTGGGATTATTCATAATTAAGTTAACAGTTTAGTCCTTGAACGGTCAGTCCCCTATCAATTTTGTCCCGTGTAGACAAACATTTAATAAAATCTCCAATTGTTTGCACCAATAAAGGTTGTTCCTCCATTAACCAATGTCACAGTCACTTGAAACACTAGCTGACATGGCAAAAACAAGATTCCATGTAGCCATTAAATGATCCAGACTTGCTCAACTTCCATTTTCTTTATAGTTGCATCATTTTGCCTGTTTTCTAAACCCTGATGATGGTGGAAGAAAATAAATTAAAATTATAGATAAATATAAAGAACAATATTCTAGATAAGATTATGTTTTAAATTGTTTTGTTTTATTATTTTTAGGATTTTATAATTTAACTAATCATTAGGGTCAGAATATTTTCTTCTGATTTTCCTATTTTCTTGTATTTTAAAATTTTCTATTATTACCTTGCATTTTTTAATGCATCCTATGGGCCCTATACATGCCTTTAGTAACTATGATAAGCCATGAACAACGCATAATTCCGCTATTCATAACCCACGAAATATGTAATCCTCTTGGGCTCCTTCTAATATTTTTTACCCTTTCAACTTTTTTTTTTTATTATTCCTTCAATCTTTTTCAACACATTTCAATAAGATTTAAATGCTAAACTTCCAAAAACTTTTAATATCTATCCCAGGCATTACATGAGGGAAAGATATCTAGTTCACTAATATAAGCTTTATTGGCCATGTCTTTCCTATAATGTCAATGTGGTATTAAAGCCTAGTTCCCGCAGTTCCAAGGACATCTCCAATTCTGAAAGTATATCGATTTCTAACATTTTCAGGGTTGATATAAGCAGACGTCAATGTGACAATGCTTCTAGTGCCATGAATCAGGATTCCAATCTGTCAGTGAAAACCATCTTCTACATCACCTTGCTTCACAAGATGATAGAAATCAAGCAAACCAATATCATTTTGGAAGAAATGACATAGGGGCAGATCCTGGTCGTCAGCTAACAGTATGCCAACTACTCTGCCCACGCAGGAGCATGTAGGTCAAGAAAAATTAATTGGGGTGCCAAATTGAAAGCTTGTCCTTTGGAGGACCAAAATGAGAGGAGAGATCTTTTGTAAGCCAAATCATTAATCCACTCCACGTTTAAGACTCATTTGACACATAGAATCAGAAGCTGTTGCACCAAAAATAGAACAAAAAAGATTTGAGGATAAAAATACCCCTTTTGTCCCCACCCTACAGAAAGGAAATAAAGAAGATAAAACTGCTGGATAATGGTTATTGATTACTTGGGTCTAATATACATCACGAGGGAAAAAAAAAAAGCTGAAGAAATGGCAGTCCGATTTCATAGGCCAAGACAAGCAGGCCCTATTAGTGTTTGTGTCGCTAATAAAACCATTATAGAGCAACTGATATAAGGATGTGAAATCAATAAATAATAGCTTTATAACTATTTCTTCATATACAAGTGCTTTTAATAATCATGTGTAATTGTAGTACAACTAAGGATCTTGACATTAGGACTTTCCGCAATTGATCATACTGAATTGTAAAGTATAGTTCTAATAAAAGAAAGATGGGTATACTTAGTGTAGTTCTAATAAAAGAAAGATGGGTATACTTACTCATGAACACGGTTCTGTATAGCCTCTTCACCCTCTAACTTTTTATGCCAAGAAATACGTTCACAAGCAATTTCCCTCAATTCTTCTGGGTCAAAAGTTATCAACTTCAGATGACCTTGACTCTCCTAATTAATATGCGCAAGTCACTTCAATGAATATTGGCATCGATACAAATGCTCAGCTACTCAAGAAGCTAATGTAATGTGAGATACTACAAGGTATGGCACAAATATATTATCACAGGATACTAAAATACATCTTACCAATGTATCTCGCCTCATTTCTTCAGTTGAATATTTCTTTGATGATAAACCAGTCAGTAGAGATGTCTCATCAACTTCTGGAATTGACATCGCTACTGGATCTTTTGTTGGAGGCTTTTTCAATAACTTATTTATCAAATGGTCGAGTGCCAAAGGCAGTTGTAGCCAGAACAAAGCTTCAGAGGATTCACCAAATAGTGCGGCTGCATAGGCAAGTCTCATGGCATAGCCACTATTTAACACACTAGCGTACCTTGTTGACCTCTCATCATCAAGTATGCACCCTAGGAAAGTGGGATGGGAAAAGAAAAGAAGAAAAATAAAAAGAATTGGTGCAGATTATAACCCAAACATTGTCAAGAATCAAGACCATAATAAGAAACTCCACAAATGAATATAGAGACCTTCTCTTCGGTAAGGTTCCAACACTTTTAGAAGCATCTCGGGTACCACAGGGTCACCTAGAGATGGAAGGTCATTCATGTGTGCGCGAAGATCCTCAGTGGATGAAGGAGTTTCCTGGATTAAATGAGGCCTTTTCTCCGTAGTTGTACTGCAAGTATTGAACCAAGAAGGTTTAACACCCAATTGCAAGATCATACGCAATGCCTGAAGCAACATCAGTCATTATTCAGTAGAGCACAATAAATAGTCAATTCTCCAGATACAGATCTTGTAAACGGAAAACAGCATGGACATATCACCACTAAATCAAATAAGACACCTTACTGTTTTTTTATTATACTTGCAAAATGCCATATAAACCAAAAATTGTCCATCCCACTAAGGTTCAGGGTAAGAAAATATTGATAACTTGATGTTGTCATGTGATATTAATTGGATTCAATAGGATTAACTCGTCGCCAGTTGCTAGTTTTGTTTGGTAGCCTTCATTCCTTGTAGACAATAAATAAGGAATGAGTTCAGTGGGCACTGTTGATTTGAGTGTTATATTTTCTCTATAACATAAGGTAAGGATGCATAATGTCTCCCAGGAGATACCAAAGTGAATGTTGAAATTACAGCCCAGAAAAAGAGTGGAGATAAAATTAAGCATGACAGTTATGGTTCAGGAATTTGGGCAGCAAGTGACCCTCTATAAAACCTTTACAAACTTTTTACACAGAAAACCTAGATAGAATCAGGCAAATAAAATTGCATTATAGTCATATTAACATTAAGAACAAAGCCTGAAACTGACTCCAATGTTAATATAAATAGATGAGAACCGTTGAATTTAAAACTAATTCATTTCAGGAAGCTCTTAGAAGATCAAATGAAAACACATTAGAGTGATTCTACTTTAAAGCATTTCCATTTTACTACTTCGATGTTTCGGTGGCATCTACATCCCTCACGCTAAAACTGATGTTAGGATGGTACTGTCATCCATATAATGCAGAGACCCATTACATAAAAATTCAGAATGGTAAACAATTTCAACACATTTTGATATTAATTCAGTAGATTAAAGCCTGCATAGTACCAGGGCATGTGGCGTAGGAAGTAGTATGGGACAACACAAAGGCACAGGCCGGAATCTTTCCTTTATAGCTCTGGGCTGGGGCACATAACCAACTCTTTTATCATTTCTGCATGAAAGAAGCATGTACAAATTAGTAATCACAAGGTTCGATAAGAAAACATTGGTATCTGAGGAAGCTCGACTGCTTAAAAACACTCATCTTAAACCGTTATTAAATCAAGATCAAACCAGCAAGTTTAATAGCAGCACAAGTGTCATGTTGAACCAGTTAAAATAACCTTTCATGTCAGCCAATTAATTTAGGAAGGCTCTCAGATTCAACCTCCCATCAAACTTGGGGGGTTTTACTGTAACCTCCTTGGTTAAATCATCACTGTCACATTGCCTAAAGCTTCCCTAACATTCTGAGGAGGTGATTCATATTTGTCTATCATAGTGTTTTACCAAGTCTCGGTAATCCCACAGATCATATATGCTCAACTTGATGCTTAACAGGCCTAATATAGCTAACAGTAGCACCTACTGAGGATTGATTATTCCCCATGTTTGGTGTTCCCAACTTGTTATGGGAAGGAACACGTCCATCTCTTGGATTAGTTTCTTCCTTACCCCTAGGGTTCTCAAGTAAACCATCTACATTCATGCCTATATACTGCCTACTTGACAACTGAAATACATCCATAACTCTTTTATGCTGGCCTCTCTATGAATTTAAGGCTTCAAACTTTCTAGCATCATATTCTTTGTTAGCCTTCATAAACTCTTCAAGGTTAGTTTAGGTGTCTTCAGTGTTTCCGGCCATGGAAAATTTAAGGGTGTTGAGTTTGTGGTCCAGTAAGGCCAGCTTCATGTATAGATTAGGCAAGCATAGTCGGGTTAAACATTGTCACTGCTTTCTATATATCCTTTTGAAGACCAATGATAGAACATCTAATTGCCACATCTACCTGCAAATCCACTTCTAACAATAGCTCATCAAACTGCACCCCATATTCCTCCATTAAACCTTCCTAATGTGAATTTTAAATTTGCCAAATCAAATTTATTTGTTGACCCTCCATGCATTTTGCCCCTGCTTCATGGAAATACTCATTTCAAGACATGTTTCTGATCCTCTCTCCCTTCATAGAATCCAAATGCCACCAAAGAGCTCTCTTCTCCAAGTGGACACTAAGGAGCCTTGTATACTATAATGGACCCCTCATCCACCTCAAAAAACTGCTTACACCTATAAGCACATCCTCTAAAATCAACTTAACCCTATCGTGTTTAGTTAGAGCATTATATAATGATCAAATTGGTGATGTGAGAGCAACCTAAGCTAAGACATCACTAGTGCAACTAGAAAACAATTGTTACTCACATTGCTCCAACATCTCTGTTTTGTCCTTGTCTCATCAAAGCATTTGTCCATATGAAACCAAAAGACTTATTTTCACAACTATATCAGCCATTAGTGCCACCATTATAGTTATTATCTGTTTGAGTTCTCCTATGTCCTAGGTATTGCATTTAAGTCATGCTAGTATCAACCATCAAAACTTGAGAGTCAAGCCAATGCTCAATATCTCCAATGCATTCCTCGAACCAAACAGTTTCAGGGTAATTCTCTGATATATCATTCAGCTAGGATACAAATGTTTAAATAATACAGACATTGTGACCCTCAAAAGGTAAAGGAGAGCCGCGTGTGAAAGAGGCAAAGGAAATAGAATATTCTATATATTGAAAGAATCACAGAAAAACAAATAAAGCCAACCTTCGATATAGAGTATTATGACTATAATGCCATCATACTATAAGCCATATCTCATAACTATGTCTTTGGCACCATACCAACCTCACTTTGATACCATAATGACAGTAGAAAACAGAAAATGTGTGAATTCATCAACACACACGACTCGGAAAGTGAGATAAATATAATGAGCTGTATCCAAAACACCCTTCTAGTCCGCAAATAGAAAATGTTATGTCTATTTATAAAACTACAATTTCAACATGGAAAAAAGATAAACTCAAAACTATCTCAGCAAATCAGGGATTTGGCATTAGATCCTTAGGACCATGTCCATCTATTGTAGTCCAAGCTCTGTAAATCTAGATCACAATCTTAAAATTATACTGTGGCAGGAAGGAGCTCATCAATCCAGACAGTTGTGCCACTTACACATTGACTTCAAAAAGGCGAAAGCTGCTATCAGCTCCAGCAATGCACAAGACCAGTGGGTCATTCTTATCAGTTCGCAAGGGCAACCAATCAAGTTCCAGTACAAGAGTTCCAGGAGACTGAGGTTGCAGCAGTGAGTTGGCTAAGGGGTCTGGTGAATCCTGAAAAATGCATGTATAAAATATAATCATCAAAGAAAGAAACTATCTCAAAGGAGTGAGGTACACACAATATATTGGAAAATATGTCTTTTCCTCCATTTCAATTTCAGAATGAAATGACAAATAGGATTAGAGGAGCCCTTTAATATCTAAAGAAACCAGAACCCTTTTATTCAAAATCAAAATCTTGTGTTTCTTCAAAAAGGGAAATTATTACCAACTAGGAGAGGAACAATTGGAATATGTAGAGAAGTAAAAGGATTCCACGAGAGAGACTGAAAGGAAACAAAGGAATGAAATAAATTATAGAAAAATAAACAGTTCCCTACGTTTAAAGCTGTCCATCACCAGTTAAAAACAAAATTTAATGTTTTTTCATGTTTCTAAATTATTCATCACAAGCTGCACAAATGTGTAGAAATCATTAAAAAGCATAAGAATAATGAAAATGTACATACAATAAAAGAAAAGTCAGAAACATTGCATACCAAGTCAAATACAGAGAAGGTATTGTCATAAAACAGAACAGCTATACGCCCCCGACTATGGTCTCCTGGTACAACAGGAGAGAATTTGATACGGCGGATTCCATCTCTATGAGTGTTGAAATAGGAAGACTGTCCTGTTGTCACATCCCACCATCTTATGTTTCCCATCCTGTCCCCCATAACCTGAAATGTTAAATTAGTCAATACCATCATAAAATGTACAGCAAACTCATAATATCTATGTACTGAAATCGAACTAACTATAAGAATGTGAAGTATATACCACATGAGGTAAGCGATAGGCCATTGCAGTAATTAATCCGTCCGAGGATATGAATGAAGAAGAAGGCCATTTTGGTCTGCAGTCAAGTAGACACTCTTAACAAGACTTAAAAAACAGGGGGGAAAAAAGGTGAAAAAAGGAAGAGCGATGAGCAACAAAAAAAAGACAAATTGCCTGCGGACCATAGTTGCAGACTCAATTCAGTTTTCTGACATAAGGTCAAAATGAACAACAGTATTAGTACTTGAAAATTTAGTCAGTAGTTCAATGTTGAACATATTCTGTTCCACAACCTATGATCTAGAAATGGATAGTGAAGCATGTAAGGCTGAGCAAGGAATGGAATTATGGTAGAATTTGTATGGTAAATTGAGGATCAATCTTCACGTGCTCTGTCCTAGGATGATGAGTAGGACTCCTAAATTTTCTAGCCGTAGCTACCTTAGCACAAAAACTTTCACGGGTAAGTCAACAGCTAATTTAATCTCCTTGGAAAATCTCATCAACCAAATTTCTTCAGAAGTTAAAAAGGTTAAGAGCACAAAACTTTTTCAGCATTGCTCCTTGCAAAACTTGATTGTCTCTTGCTTTTCCATATTAAGGAATAAGTCGTTATGTAATTATGTTGGCTATACTGTTATAGTCTGTTGTGTTATATTGTTACAACAGACTAGCACTGGTATTGTTCTTTATACATATTACGTCCTATGATTCTCTCATCTCTCTGCTATCATTATCATTCTACTTGGTCTCTAAATTCATTCTGCTATTATAGCATAGCGTATCCAATTGAAGAATCTCGATCATACCATCAGGTGCTCAACTCACATTTTCTCCCATCCTAGTGAAACTCAATGGGAAGAATTACGCCACCAAGATATATCTAGTGCTCGCAACAGTGAGAGTGCATGAACAGGTCCGAGTCAAATAGCAATGATTCGAAGCACTTCCTTTTACACTATTTCGGAAACCCAAGGACTCAATCGTATGGATATGTAAAATACAGGATTTCCAATCCTAGCAGGAAAAGGAGGGAAACGGATACTCAATTTCAAGTGAGTAAACAGAATTCCATACTCGATCTCATAGATACATATAGAATTCTGTGGAAAGCCGTATTCGATGAAAGTCGTATGTACGGCTTGGAGGGAGATCTTTCATATCTTTCGAGATCCACCCTACAATGTTGAGGATTTCCTCAAGGGGTCATACTCCACAAAGTAACACAAAACATGTTGAAATTGACAGATATTTCATCAAGGAAAAGATTGAATGTCGACTCATGTGCTTAATATATGTTCCACCAAGGAAGCAAGTTGCTTATGTTCCCACCAAGGGACTTCTAAGAGAGAATTTTGATGTGCATATGCAAGTTGGAAATATCAGTCATTGTAAGGTTTATCAGCATTTATTAGGCTTGCTAATTAGTTTTCACTCCTTTGTCTTCCCCCTTGCATATATATATAATGTACTTTATAATTCAAAATTAATGAAAATACATTTTCTCTCAAAATACATCATAGACTTGTTCTTTGTGCGAGAGAAGTTGATCAGCATATTTCCAGTCATGATCAGGTAGTAGACATTCTCATGAAGCCAATTACCAACATCAGTTTTGCTACTTTCAGAACTAAGCTCAATCTTTTAGAACATCCTGACCACATCGAGAAGAGCACAGTTCAAATGGGAGAAATGAAGAATTTAGTAAGAAAGAGGCCTAGATAAAAAATGAGGGATCGTGTTAGGGAGCAAGTCGTTAAGTTGGTTGTATTATTATAAAATAGAAGCTCCAGTAGTTTGCCTATATATTCCCTGTACCCACTCTCAGAATAATCAATAAAGATTACTTCAAGTAATTCTATCACTACGCTCTGTATCTTTCTGTTTGTTCTCTGATTTCATCAATCAGATAACCATGCTCCGCCATAAAAAGGTGTAGTAAAATATTCAAGATCTTCCATCAGTCACATATCTCATAAACCAAAACTCTCACAGGCAAGTCAAAATCTAAGTTCCATAAGAAGTCACATCAAGGAAACTCCTTAACGAATTCCAAGAGCTAGTACACGGAACTCTGCTTCAACATTGCTCCTATCAACAATTAGTTGTTTCCTTCCTCTCCAAATTCGTGTAGAGAATCTCCTACCAATTACAAAAGGTTACTTCTATTGAATCTTATATCAATCACATATCTTGCCCAATCAGCATCTAAAAAAATTTAAATACGTCTAGGAGTGCTCCTTCTAAAGAATAGCCCCACTCCCGGAGTCACTTAGTCGCAGAAAATATAATATACAATTTCCAAGTGCCCCTCTTTTTGCTGGTTTAGGAACTAGCTATACTGACAAGAAAAATGATGCCTAGATGAGTGTGAGATATAGGAAAATCAACTCAGAGCTCCAACCAAATCAGAAAGATATGCTTATTTGCAATCGTAGTCCTCCATTGGGCACAAACATGAATTCCTAGTATTCAAAAAGGCCCATTTCAAATTTAGCAGACAATTTTGATTTGAGAGGTACAGTGAGTAATTTGTAGGTGAAGAGGTTTCAAGTGGAAGAAACAGAGAAGTGCAACCTATGATGTCCTAAGCAAACCCTTTTAACCATCCATAGTCAACAATTTATTTTTCTAAAACTAGGCCAGCAGGGCCCTTTCATATACATCTTTTTGTATTTAAACATGCCTCCTCTGACTTTTAACGAATTCTAAATTATCAAGGAAAAAGTAGGAAGGCACCAATAGTAACCAATTATTTAAGATAGCTAGGCATCATTAAAGACAACTTGATAGCATATAACTACTGAAAGTAGATTAACATATACAAATGCCTTGCAAAGTCCTAGACAAGATCATTACAAATTTAGCCATCCATGTATAACAAAGAACAACAAAGCACGACGTTTTTGGTCAATGAAAAAGAGGGAATACCTGAAATCTCGAATCCTTCGTCCTTGAACTTCAAAAACTCCAAGTGCCCCATTCACCAAGGCAAACGCAAAACTCTCTGAAGAGTCATCATGATGTCCCTCAGCGCCTGAATCCTCTGCTCAGACAAATTAGCATTAGGCAAACTAATTCTAGAGTAGCTTCTATCCTAAGGATATTTAAGTTGACCAACATACTAACTTGAATCTGATGAGGGCAACTTTGTTGGGATGGATGCCTCATCTGCTTTTTGCTCCTTAGAAGATGAGGACAATTGCCTAGCAGATGCATTTTGAACAGGACGAGGAATTGTTGGAAGAGTCCATTCCAACACAGTAAATGGAAGAGCTAATGATCTAAGCTACATAGGAAAACAAGGAATTATAAATATCTTGAGGACAACAGAATATACAAGTACAACAATTATATGGAAGACATTAAAAATAGTTTGCCAAAAAAGAAGAAAATCAGGACCAATCGTATAACACTTGAAAGTGAGAGCAATAATGTTGGGAGAGACAAATGATGATAAAGCTGTTTACAGGAAGCCAATAATAAGAAAATAAATAAATAAGCAGCAAATATATATACTTTCGAATGAAATTCCAAAATGCACTTGATAAATAGCTGGACTTTCCTATGCCTAGAATGAGTTTTCCACAATTTCATTTCCCCTAGTATTTTCCTCCTGATCTTCTTCATTCTTAACTGGCTGGAAAAAGCACTTTCCAGAGTTTTATTGCAGTAGAATAATTCACCCTGGAGTGTTAAGATAAGGGCACTTCTACAACTTATGATAAGTAAAACAGCATCCGGCTCTCCGATAGATCCAGAATAACAAAGTTGACCAAGTATACCAGCTTGGTTGGTTGAATCTGATGTGACATTTTGCAAATTGAGGTTTAACTTAACGTTATTGTTTAGAATTTTGACGGTATTCATGTCTCCAATTCAATCACGACTGCTCTTCAATATCTTAGACTTGATACTGTTGTTGCTCTTCAAAATCTTCAATACCGTCATAGTGAAAGTTTGATGGGCAAGTGAAACATTCCACTAAGATATTATGAGATTGTCATGCAATGACTTCCATTATTGCATCATGATGCCAAAGATACCTGAAGGATTCAAGGCACAGGGAAACAGTACCTTTGTTCATTATTAATCCTCAAATGAAACCATGTACAGAATGATATACATAAGCAAACTTAAACTAATTCTAGTATCATAAAATTAATCCTAATGAAAGTTCAGCTTCTTGGTGAAAGCTAAAGATAGGGATCGCAAGTCTAGATCTACAGTGAATGCCTTTGAAGCAGACCTCCGATGGGTGCCTCCATGGATCCTGATGTCACAGTTTGGCTCAAGATGGTGGCTTCCTCTCCATACACTTGAAAGGAGGATGGAGAAGTATGAGTCGAAGGGTAGGAATTGGGGATTCTCCTTGAGCAAAGGATTTCAGTGATGAGGAATTTTGGAGTCATGGGTTATGAGCTTTGGGCATCGTTCAAGTTTCTGAGTTTTTCTACTTATTTTATTTTGGCGTTGAGATGTGAGGCTATTATTACGGTTATTATGGCTAGTTTCAGTTTTGGTTTATCTCTGTTGTGTAATTCTAAATGCCTTCAAGGGTTGAGAGTTTGTGTCTTGGCTAAGTGCATCCTGTGAGCCTATAAACCTTGACTTTGGTGTTCATGATTCAGTAGAATTGGGCAGAAGACTGTAAGGTGGGAAAGAACTGGAATAGTTGGCTTAAACTCTAATAGCCCTGCTATTGAGGTCTCTAAAAGAAGTTGTAACTGATTTGAGTTTGTTGTTTGCCATTTTTCTCCTACTGAGGGGAGTGAGACTGGATTTTGTGTCGCTCGATTTTCTCATATTTGGTTTTCAGACGGTCTTTCACAGATCATCTTCTTTGATGTGGATAGGCTCTTGCTTGTTCAGTTTGTTCAACGTCACTGTTCATTTATTGGCTGGAGCTGTGTACCCCTCCTTAAGGATTTTATCTCTTCAAGAAAATTTTTCAGGAATCATTCTCTTGAGTGGATTCCCAAAGAAGCATATTTAGTAGATGTTGGAGTTGCTAAAGCTTCAGTGAATGCGTCTTACCCTTCAATTTGGGTGTTGCGACCGTTATTTGACCATTATTTCAGGAGCAATGGTAATTGCTGGATACTGCGTTGCTTGTTGGGCTAACTTGTGTTGCTTTGATTTTCTTGTCTTTGTTTCTAGTTACTTTCTATGTTTTGTTTATGGGTGGGTTTGTTTTATTTTGGAGCTTTGTTAAAACTCTTGTACCTGACCTGTCTTAGTACTGCATATTTGTTGGCAAAAACAAACACCTAAAACTATTTTTTCAAATATATTCAGTATCCTAAAATATTTTGCAGTACAATTTTACCCTTGAAGTATTTTTTCAGGAGCAATTTTGCCCTTGCCGTTAACTCCCCAAAAGGTTCACATTCAATACCCTAAAATATTTTTTAACACTGAACACCCTAAAATAATTTTTTGGAGCAATTTTTTTTTTTTTTGGTAATAAAGGAGGCCTCAGGCCCAAAAACAAGGGAATAATTAACCCATGCCAACCTTATCCGAAGACCTCACACCAAAACCAATATCCTCGACACACGTAACCCCCTCACTCACCTTGCGTTGAATCTCAATCTTGTCTTTCTCGAACTGGTGTTTCACCGCTTCTGGGACTCTATCCCATACACGAACGCCGGCATTCAACTTCAAACCTGTCTTGGCCAAAATATCAGCACAACCATTCAGAGATCGACTAATCTTGCACAGTTTAATAGTCCAGTTCCTATCAAGCAGCGACCTAATGCGCTTTTGCATACCATTAGTAAAATCCCCTACCTCCTTCCCTTTTAATTTCCTGATTAAAATCTCAGAATCCGTTTCAACAATAATCTTCCGGTAGCCTTTTTGCCAAGCCAGCTCCAACCCTTGCAAAAGGCCCCAACTTTCAGCTTCAACTACTCCACAGATACCTAGATTTTGAGAAAAACCAGATATCCAACTTCCCTCTTCCCCTCGCAAAATTCCACCACAACTTGCAGGACCTGGATCGCCGTTACAGGCTCCATCGACATTCAGTTTGACCCATCCAGATTCAAGAGGTTCCCATCCTTTCACCCTCTCCACAGTGCAAGCTTTCAATCTGTCTGTCAATCCTTTAGCTTCTGCAATTTCAGAGGCAAAGTACCAGATTTTTTGAGCTAGTTCACCACAAGATCTAGATGCCCCAGCGAACAGTCGAGAGTTCCTGTTCTTCCACAAATACCAGCAAGAAACTCCAAAGACAATACCCCAAGGTATATTTCTGACCTTTCTATTTTCTTTCAAATTCAAAAACAACCAGTCATATATAGTCTTAGAGGAAAAAAACATCTGAAACTGAATGTCAAACTCGAGAGTCTTCCAGACCTCCATTGCAAATCTACAGTCTCTCACAACATGAAAAGTAGTTTCTAAACGGCCACACACATCACAGTCACCTGTTGCTCCCCATCTCTGATGTCTTAGAGCCTTTGTATGGATACTGTCCTGAGCCACAAGCCAGAGAAAACAACGAATCCTCTCCGGCCCCTTCCATTTCCAAATAGCATCCCACAACTTATCCTTCACACCCAAACAATCCCCCATTATGCTCCTATACCCTTTGACCGAATAAACCCCATTTCCACCTTTCCACAGTATCACATCACGTCCATTCTCAAAAGGAGGAAGGAAGGCCCGTAACTTGTCTATAGCCTCTATACTAATCAAATTTTGAAGTTTTTTCCACTCCCATTCACCTTCATCGCTGACAACATCAAAAACAGACCATTCCAAACACTTCTCCTCTACGCTTGTCTCACAATGATTAATAAGGTATCCTTATCCAGCCATGCTTCAAGCCAGAAAGAAGTTTCTTTTCCTCCAACAACTCCTTTCCAAGAAAAGTCATTTAGGATTTCCCAAACCACTCCCAAGTCCTGCCACAAAGGTGAGGCATTCTTTGGAGCTGGAAGGATTGAAGAGAGCTCTTGTCCATTATTGTACTTAGCTTTCAGCACTTCTTCCCATAAACCGTTCCCCCCATTCCTCAATATCCAAGCAAGTTTTAGTAAACAGGCCTGGTTCATAGCTTCCAACTTTAATAGTCCCAAACCTCCATTACTCCTTAGCCTCTGTATCTTCTCCCATCCCACCAAATGGATTTTGCGTTGATCCCCTTCATGGCCCCATATAAAATTCCTCTGGATTTTCTCTACTTCCTCCAAGATATTTTTAGGCAACAAAGTTATCATCATAGGATAAATAGGAATAGCTCCTATTACAGATTTAGCCAAAGTGATTCTCCCTGCCAAACTTAGACAATTCGCTTTCCACCCTGACAATCTTCTCTTTACCTTATCTATCACATATCTGAAATTCTTGCTTCTTCCCCCGTTGCACGCTAGAGGAATACCCAAGTAATTTCCAAAATTCTCAGTGGCCGTAAACCCAGATTGATCAGTCAACTTTTTCCTAGTCTCAATAGAGACATTCTTAGAAAAAAGAATAGTCGATTTATTAGCATTTACCTTCTGCCCAGAGAGGGCACAAAAACGGTTCAAACAGTTCATAGTGACTTCCATTTGCTTCTCTGTAGCCATCCCAAATAAAAGTAGATCATCTGCAAACATAAGATGAGACACCTCTGGCCCATATTTACCAAACTTAATTGATTCCCAATCCCCTTTCTGCCTGGCTTCTTGGATAATGTGGGTCAGTTTCTCCATTGCCGACACAAAGATATAAGGAGACAGAGGGTCCCCTTGCCTTATTCCCCTGGTTGGCCAAAACTCCTCTAATTTTCCACCATTCCAAATGATCTGCATCGAAACAGAGGAAATACACTTCATTATCAGCCCCTGGAATTCCTCTTCCAACCCTACTTCCAAGAGGATGTCATCAATAAACTTCCAACGTAGTCTGTCATAGGCTTTTTCTAAATCGATCTTAATGGCAAAAAAACCCTGCTTCCCTTTCATATTCTTCATCGAGTGTATCACTTCCCGGGCTACTACAATATTCTCTTGGATGTGCCTACCTGGAACAAAGCTGACCTGATTAGGAGCAACAACTTTTCCCACTCTTTTTTTGGAGCAATTTTGCCAATAAAGTATTTTCTAAGTTTTTTTTTTCCCACTCTCTTTTCATATGGTCAGTATTCATCCATATTCTTCATACTCATCTTTAACATTTTCACTAATCAATTTTTCAATTTTTTCAGTAGTCATCTTAAATATTTCTAAACTTATCTTCCATAGTTTCAACCCTCAACTTTAATTATTTTTAGTATTCAGTATAAGTTGAGTAAAA